AGATAAAAATTCACAGGTGCTAATGAATGTGGAGTATGACTTTCATTCATAAACTCTTACACTTGGTAATTTTTAATCCTTATAAACTAACCACCGAAAACCTATAAAGCAATGAAGCCTCTAGTTTATTCGAGCAGTGCAGTCAACTGATATTACCTCTGAAATTTAGGACTAATTATTAAAGTAGTCGTAATTATTATGATGACATTTGAAATCACAAAGCATTAAACAATCATGTTAATCAAGGCGATGTCATTAAAATTAATGCATTTTCTAAATGAACCAGGTAATTAAACTAGTTTACAACAAACAAACATGCTGTCCACCAGGCTGCTGAGCAAAATCTCCTGTAACACCACTCGCCGATGCTGGTCTCATTGAAACCAATGATCTGTTATGAAATATATAAATAATGCGCTCTTATGCAATTCCAAGTCGTTGATGTTGTTGATTATGCTAGCAAACGCTTTAGACGATGTTGAACATCCCGTTCAGTTTTCAGGAATCCACTCATTCATCCAGTCAGTCAGTTACTCCCTGTGTGTACAGTATGGTACATCATTGGTGTTTACACACATTACTGAAACATACAGAATTCATATGTAAAATAGTCAACGTGTTACGTTGATGTATCTGTTTTTATTTTCTTGAAACTATCAGATAAGCAAATGACAAAAAGGAAAGGTTTGAGAGAATAACATTTTATGAATTATATGCTATGCTTTCCTTTGCTTATTGTAACTGCAGTAATTTCAGTCAGTCAGCCCTTTGCAGCAGGAACGGTACAGTTAAAGTTTATTGTTAGCCAATAGCTGTAGCATGATATTCTGTAGACTACACTACAATCATTACATGGATTTATTATGGAGAAATTCAGCAATATAGAATATTAAAGGAGTGTCAGACGTTTCTGTTATTACATGCCCTTTTTTTATTTGCCTTGTTTTTGTCTTTTTTAGTGATCAGATATTTGATATCAAAACACATCATTTATGTTTGTGATGACTTTGTTAATGACCCACTGAAATGCTATAAAAAGCTGAATTAATTCATAAATAATCAAACCAAGTTTGACAAGATCCCTGATCCATACATGCTCATTCTTTCTTGACGTGTAAAAAATATCTTCAAGGTTTGATCCTTACCAACACGGGACAAAAGGAAACATTTTAGCGGCAGAGAAAAGACACAGTACAACAAACAATTTCTGCCCGACATAATTAATGAGTGTTCTTGTCTCTATCAAAGAGGAGGTAACTTTTATGAACACCTCTGACATTTTGTTTGTTTCTTGTTTTAATTGATGAAAGAAGGGAAGTGTATGAATGATGATAAGCTATAATGTATGATATATGATAATGAACTGCTGTGGCAGCAGTTCTGTGTACTTTTAATGTGAGTTGCTATTGGCAACAAAGCTGTCTGTGTTGGGAGGGAAGTTAAGCTATCTCACTACCCGTCCTTACCCATAGTGATTTTCTGACTAACTAGTGCCCAAAATTCTTGTGATCCCACAATGCTTTAAATTGTTTTTTATTTATTTGGCCCACCACTTATTGATTGGTAAAAGGATTTACAACGTGTCTGCTACCCTTATTGTTAGCAGTAAGCACTGTTTTGGATCATCGGTGTCCATTTACTCACGTTGGTTTTACTAAAGAGCACACAGCGAGAGACCTGTTGTCAGTAAAGCTTAAAGGCAAATGTAATAATTTTGCTTGTGAAGAAAATGTACTAGCTGTTCAAGAAAAAACTTAATCAGCTGTAGACTTTGCAGTAAACATAAAGCCTAAAATGGGTTTTGTCATAGTACACAAGTAATGTTACACCGTTCTGAAATAAATGAAAATTTCCACTAGAGAATAATGATTCACAGACCTTCACGTTAGCTGGAGCACCTCTTAATTTAAAGTTGTAAGTGCATTTATAAGTTTGTATTTGAAAAATGACACAGTATAACACTAAAGCTAGTTTTCCAGCTAATGACATGAAACCTAATTCTGACATAGTCTTAAATGAATCATTATAACTCTTTCTCTTGTAAAGCCCACTACTCACAGATACGTGTTGTCCTTCAGCCTAAACATTAGTTGAACCTCCTACCTCATTAAAACTGAACTTCCTTCTGACAAAACTGATTTTATTTTTTTATTTTTATCACAGTGAGAAAATATAATTGCTCACTGTGTGACTGGGGAACACTGAGCCTTTTTATTTTTTATTATTTTCTTCTATTCTTTCTAAACAAATATAACAACTATAAAGTAGGGTTTATATCTTTAATGAGCAGTTAACTGGTTGTGCTGCTCATGGTGATAAAACATGGGAAGCACTTATAATTACATTTAAATTGTTTTATGGAACAAACATGCGTTTGGCGGAACCGCTTTATCAGACTGTCAAACTGTTATCCATACTGTAGACTGCGGCCTGCTCATAGATAAAGGAGTCACTGCATGTTACTCATCCATACAGGCATCCAGAGAATTGTATCTATTGCTTTAGAGAAAGAAAGCACTTACTGTAACTACACACACACGCACACACACACACACACACACACACACACACACACACACACTACAGTAGTTAACACATGTGCTAGAATGTATGTGTATGCAACAGCAATAAGCCAGCTAATGAAATGTATAGCACACTAATTAAAAATATCCATGCACATGCTTTACACTGCAGTAATGCCTTGGCTTGATCATCATGAATCAGCGCTTTTCCTTGTAGTAAGACAGCTTCTCTCGTGTGTGTGTATTGCTTTATAGTAAAACAATATGCTTTGCTTTGTGTACCTGACTTGTATGAAAATGTTTGCTTGTGTTTTCTAATTTGACTCATTTTGTATTGTTCTTTTTCAGTGTTCTTTTATATTTGGTCACATTTACTGTTATAAAATGTGTGGACAGCCACGGTGCAGTTTCTCAAGGTTTTGTGCTGAAGTTTCACATGTGAACTTGTTTAGAGACAGTTTATCGTTTTCATTGATGGACTGGAAATAGTTTGATGATCGAGTGTGTCACTTAGTCACCAGATGGCCTCCATTTATCAAGATGCATCACCTCATCTCTGCAAGGGTTTCCACAGAGTAACTGCGGTTGGTGGTAGTGAGTCATTAACTGTGTTATTGATGTGACAAAATAAAGTCATTACTCATGGTCAAAGCTCAGAGTGATGTGTTGATCTTCCTTTACCCAGTTTCATTGTTTCAATAATTGTATGTGTTTTAGACACAGATGGGTAGAAATGCATATACACAGTGTGAATGATACAGTCATGAATATATTGTAACTTGTGACTGAGAATAGTCACATGTACAGTATGCTGTAGTGCATACTTATACTGGATTAACCTGCTAGAGGAGCATTAACCACCATTCCTCCACCTCTTCTGTACACTGTGTGCAGTATTCCTGTGCTGTACAATAGTTTTATTAAACAAATTATAATAGGAGTTTTCACCAGGTCAACATAACATCAGCTGAAAGGTCTTGAACTTAATTTTGACAGGAGTGCCTCAAAGGTCAGGTAAGCAAAAGTTACCTAAAGGCTGTTGTTATTTTAGGTGCAATATAGGTGCTATATGTATATGTTACATAAATACATGCACAAAAAAGTCAAGATGGAGAGTAATGTAGTTATGCAAAAGCATAAAAAGACAGAATGTGAAAGAGCAAGCAAATTCATACAAACCAGATTCAGGTGTGTTTTATTCAACTTTATGAAGTTAAATAAAAGCTTATTTAATTGAAATATGAATGTGACTTTAGTTAATCTGTCTGGTTTGTGTGCTTCTGGTCACTTTCACTTTACTTTAAAATGAGGATCTGCTCTTGCACAACTAGCTTGTTAAAACAATGATTAAAGTATGCTGTGCTTACAGTATTTGTTCCATCTCATCATTCTGAAAGTCAGGTGACTATAAAGGAAGAGAAAGCAGCTGGATTATCAGCATGTTCTCTGTGGTCAGTGATCCACAGCACGATACAGCATTAAGGACATTTTGCCACCAGTACAAATCACAAGTTTCATACACATATGTTGCTGTCCAAGCATTATTAAAAAGGTTCTTAGTATTATGTCTCATGTCACATGTTTAACACATTAATATACCATGAAGTCCATCACCTATTTAGTTACACCAGACTACCAGGATATAGTATATATTTGACTGATATAGGGTTAATTAATCTGTTTACTTACTTTACTTGTTCAACTTAATGTCTAATAGTCAGTTTATTGTCTTGATTTTGCATTATTTTACAATTAAAATCTTACTTTGCCCGACTCCCTTTACAGTACAATAATAAGACAAATTCAACACAAATAGAAAAATAGAAGAAAGTGAAAATATAAAATATAACTTAAAGTGCAGAACAATGTACAGTAAACCTGAGTTGGAATTAAAAGAAAAAAATAAACCTGAGTCGAATCTCATCTTCTTTAAATATTGCTACGAAACACAGCTGATAGGAAAAGAAAGGGACCTTTTATGCATCTGTACCTGGGATTTGTTGTCTCACAGTCCATCAATGACTCACATTCTCAAACATATTTTACATGAGAATCATTATGGTGGCACACTGCTCCTGATTATGATATATATATATATATATATATAGAACATTAGAAATCATATAAACTAAATACACTGTTATATAAATACTATATTTAAATTAATGATATAAAAACATGGGTCAAAAATGATAACAGTAATAATACAAAGTAGAAATAGATGTATTTTCAATAGGTGTTATGTGAAGTGGTGACAGAGACGGTGAGTTTCAGCACCACCTAAAGGTCAGACTGAGGTACTGCAGCTCTACCGACGCGTTACAACAAACTCTCTCATCCATAACTGCGTTTGTTCCGGTTGAATCCAGATTCAGATGTTTTCTTAAATTTCATTTTTAAGACGAAATCATCACTGATCTTACCCACCAAGACTCCCACAGACCGGAATAATAAAAAAAAAGGAAGAGTGGTGATGACTTTAGCTCACATGAGCTGCAGTCATGTGACTGTCTCACATGGTGGCAGCAATAAAAGAAAGAGGCGGACCGTTTCACAATCACAGGTTGTTGACGGACAGTCACTGACCAGAGGAACCTGCAGCTAAACATTCATCAAGTTCACACCAACAGCAGGTAAATTATTTATTTTTGTGTCTTTTATCTCGACATTAAAGCTGGCCTCCGCTCTTTAGTCTCGTCGGATGTTAGTTACAGGTTGTTTACACGGTGAGTTAGCGGTTAAGCTAGCTAAACATACACTTTAGCTCCATAAACTAATATTAGTTAGTAAATAACACGTTTAACATTAGGTTAATATTTTCTGACTGACACACAAAGAGCAGTTTGAGTCGTCGTTGTAGCAGCTGTTTGTTTCAAGTGGGTGTTGTTTTGTGTTTGACCCAGTTTCATGTTCAGAGGTGATAAGATAATAAAGGTTTGAACAGGTGGAAATATTATAGCCAAACACACGTGTGTCTCATTTATTAATGATTAAGACACCTCGAAATGATTCAATCTGGTGGAGACAGCATCTGAATGAGGGAAATAACTCAAAACCTTAAGTTAAAATACATATGAAGCATAATCTGAACTGTCACATGCGTTGATACAAGGAAATGGAAAGTGAAACTGCAGCTATTTAGTACCCTGCTTTATCTACATAATACACTGTTGTACTGAGTTATAAACATGTCTGTGATACAGCAGAGGATCAGAGCAGGAGGGAGGTAAAGCTGAATGAACCTGAATTGATTGGTCTTTGTATAAAAGACCACATATTTAACTAAAACACAGTTTATTGTTCAGGCTGTTTTCTTGAAGTGCTCCAATCAGGGCAAAAAGGGTGAGGAACAAGGAAGTTTAAACATATGCAACCACAAGCAAAACCCTGTTTAACTATCAGGCAAAGGAATGAGGAAATCTGTCAGTAGACAAACAGAACAAATAGTCAGATTTATAGTGCAGCATTACACAGTTATCAGACTGTATGACACCTTGTTGATCTATATGTGCAGGTAAGATGAGGTGTGTGTGTGTGTGTGTGTGTGTGTGTGTGTGTGTGTGTGTGTGTGTGTGTGACGTTTTTAATGTTTAAGGTTACACAGATGGGACATTCTGTACTTCTTCTACCAGGTCTTTGTGCTGCCACACATAGGTATCCCAGCTACATTCATTTTAAAACCTTACTCCTGTGGTTTTAACATTACTTCAAAGTATTTCTTTTGAGAGGTACCGATCAATACTGATCAGCAGTTTCCTGTTTATTGTGGATGTGACAACAAGATAATTAAGACTATAAAGAGAAAAAAGTAGCTGAACACAATGTTAGCTGAACTCAACCCAGTGTTGCAGGACTTGTCATGTGAAGATCATTGGTTCTACTTATAAAGGAGTTGGTGAGGAACTTAATTGTGTTTTCTCTGTGGTTTAGCGCTGACACAGCCAATTCTGTTTTGATCTCAAACTTTGCGCGTAGTGGGAATAAACAACCGTTTAGCCTTTAGACGCCCCCTTTAAAGATGTGTTGGTTAGCATCAGAAATAAGTTGTCATCACACTGTTTTAATTTTGGAGATGCGAGAGATCTGCAGGAAAAAGGGGCTCACAGCCCTCTACTATGACTCGGCAAGTTTATGTAGCCTTTGTCTCGTCTAGCTATGACAACCCCGTTGAAAGACAGCGATTCAGGTCAGCAGGCTGAGGGTTCACTTCTCCAAATCACATCCAAAGAGTGTATGTGTGTGTGTATGTGTATGTGTGTATATATATATATATATATATATATATATATATATATATATATATATATATATATATAAACAAATGTGAATTGTTTGGGTTTTTCTTCACTACTTTCCACTCCATACGTTACACAGAATGATATAACAATTGTTTGTGGTATCTGAGCACTAACAAATGGTTAACAGTAACCGTAGTATGTCATGTGGTACTTCAGTGTGAGTTCAGGAAGCAGATGTTCTACAAATGGGGATTTTTTCTCTTTGCTCATGGTGCTTCATGTCATGTGATACCAAACCAGTTTCACTGGAAATCACATTTTCACTGTCTCTCAGACAGACCTGAGGTGTTTTCACTGGATTCTCTCCTGATTTTTGTGTAATAGAAACAGGACATGCCTGAACATGTGTGTTGATTTTACCAAGAACAAGACTGGCTCTTGTTGTTGAGAGAATCTGTGTGGCGTTGTGCCAACGTAAGCACTGAGGGTCTAGAAGTCTATTAAGTTCCTACATAAGTCCTTGAAAATAGTTTTGGCAATAGATTAAATTTAGTGTTAATCTTGCTTGGACTTGGAAGTCAACATTTCTACCAGACACAGGTCCTGCTATTCAGCCCTTAAAACTGTCTCTTTGTAATCTACTGCATGTTAGTTCATCCAATCATGTTTATAAAGAAACACAATGTCTGCACTAGTATTGATTTTGTTGGACTCGGAACATCCTGCTTATCCTGAGTACACTCAATGCCTCTATTTAATAGACTACATTATGATCTCTAATGCATCCTTGTCGGTGCATTTCACCTCCTTTTAATAATTCAGTCTCATGTCTACCATTTTAGAGGTTTGGAACATGCCTTCATCTAAAAACTAGAGGGAAACTTTGAGGAAACTGTATTCCTTGCAGTTTAAAGTGGGAACTGAAACCCAGTCTAATTATAGTTGTATAGCCAATGCAACATGCCAGTGTAAAGTCAAATGTCATCTTCTTGTGTGTGCATGTTTGTATTAAGTCTAAGGAATTTAGTTGAAATGACTGGACTGTTTATTGTATATGTGTACCGGCTGAGGCCGGCTGCTTAATCACTGGAAAGGTATCTGACTAGCATGACTGAGAATAAGAGATTTTCTCTGCTCTTTGTGAACGCATGTTCCACTTGTAGATGCAGCCACAGTGACACTGTCTAGTCAGCTGTGAACATTTTTCACTTAGTCTCAGGAGTGTTTGTAGTTGGGGAATAACTCTTTTCAGTGTTTTCTAACCTGGGCTATTGTATGTACTCTTACTGGAGGTTAGTTTAGTGATTAAATCATCATTTATGCACTGAAATTACGATAGCTCAACTATAATTTGTAATGTGAATAAAAAAAATAACCTTGTGTCCTCTTCTTGTTTGTATTTTTAAGGCAAAATGTGGCGTGCAGCCTTCCTGTTACTAGCTGCCAGCTTGTCGGTGAGCCTGGCCAGACCTCGTCTCCAACCACTGTCCAGTGAGATGATCAACTACATCAATAAGTTGAACACTACCTGGAAGGTGAGGTTTTTTTTTTTTTTTGTCTTAGGTTGGACTTTTGTGTCAGTGGTTATAACCAGTTCTATTTGACTAAATCTCCCTCCTCTCCTTCAGGCTGGTCACAACTTCCATAATGTCGACTACAGTTATGTCCGGAGACTCTGCGGTACGATGCTGAAGGGACCTAAACTGCCTGTAATGTGAGTCTTCTCACACGTTGTACATCCCCTTATTAATACATGCACATCTGTATGCACATACAAGAAGAAGAAGCAGTGGTTTCAGTGTCAGAGCAAAACTCTGTATCCCACCTGCAAGTACATAAAGTCTGCCTAGATTGTAATTGTAAGTTGTAGCAGCATAAGAGTAATACTTGACTCTATATTGTTTTCCTCTGCAGGGTTCAGTATGCTGGAGGCATGAAGCTGCCTGAAGGGTTCGACTCCCGAGAGCAGTGGCCCAACTGTCCCACTCTGAAGGAGATCAGAGACCAGGGCTCTTGTGGATCCTGCTGGGTGAGATAAAAAATCACTGCTCAAACAATGTGACCATATTTAACTTTAGCTGAAGATTTGTTTTATTTTTTAAGGGAACAGATTATCTAGGGAGTTTTTTTTTTATGATCGTGAATTTTCTTGTAATTAGTCAAGAGTTTTGTATTCTGAACAGCAAACGACACCCTCTATCCTTAGACGCCTAATTCAGATAAGGAAAAACTCCCCCTAAATCGTATTTGTGCGTCTGTGACATGTTTAGTTTCTTCTCCCAACAGGCATTCGGCGCTGCAGAGGCCATCTCCGACCGTGTGTGTATCCACAGCAATGCCAAGGTCAGCGTGGAGATCTCCTCAGAGGATCTGCTGACCTGCTGCGACAGCTGTGGCATGGGGTGAGAGGCAGCCATGTTTATTTTTTGATTTCTCTTCAAATGTCCCCAACTAATGATTGCAGTGGACCATAATCCAGAGCTCAGTAGCAAAGCATACTGTTTAAAATCTGAAGTATTGGTTATTTAATGGGAGGATAGAATGAATTGACTCTGTACAAGCTCACCAGTGAATGATCTGATATGAGCATATTGTATGGGAACGCACCAATTCAATATGCAGAATTAGTATTCGTACCAAAACTATCCTTATTAGGCAGATTGGGTATCAGCCATAACATAACTGATCCACATTAACCAGAGTTTCTTTGTCAGTGTAATTCAGTCTCATTAATTCATGGTGGGCTGTTGACTCAGGGCCACAGCAATCCCTGGCCTCAGTAAGGTAATGAGTCCACACAATGAACTATACAGATTTCTGATTTGTGAATCTGATTTCTAGAATCTGTACTGGGAGAGGAAAAATATGGATCAGTGTCTCCCGGATATTGTACAGTGTGAACATTGGAGTCACAGTAAAGAAGTACACAGTGGTCATTTGTAAAGGTGGAAACCCTTTGAATATTCTTTTTTATTCACTTTATAGATGTAATGGTGGCTACCCTTCAGCTGCTTGGGACTTCTGGACCAAAGAGGGTCTGGTCTCTGGAGGCCTCTATGACTCCCATGTTGGTGAGTGTTGTGTGTGTGAGACACGAGTGAAACACGTGTGTTGTATGTACAGTTCTGACACTATCTTTGTGTCTACAGGTTGTCGTCCCTACACCATCCCCCCCTGTGAGCACCATGTGAATGGCAGCAGACCCCCCTGCACTGGGGAGGGTGGAGACACACCCCAGTGCCTCAACCAGTGTGTAGCTGGATACACACCCAGCTACAAAGAGGATAAGCATTATGGTAAAAGGCAAAAGGACATTTTAACTTGCATAAATAAGGGAGGAATTGGTGTTAAACATGCAAACATTAGTTAACATGAGTCTTTGCAGACTAACATTTGAACTGTATTTAGTTCTTACCCTGTGATTTTCCATTTAGTATATTATATTTTGCTTTGATGTGACTAAGTGTTGCGACACACACAGTATGTTTATGTACTAAAATGAGTCTAACCCTAACCTTGGTGAACACAGCAGTGTATGTGCACACACACACACACACACACACACACACACACACACAAGCAGCGCAGGATCCTAACTCAAAGTGTGTTTCAGGTAAAACTTCATACACTGTGCTGTCTGAAGTGGAGCAGATTCAGTATGAGATATACAAGAATGGTCCGGTAGAGGGTGCCTTTACCGTCTATGAAGACTTTGTGCAGTATAAGTCTGGTAAGAACACATGCACCATTAACAGATAAATAAGTACTAAATATTTATACACTCAGAACATTTGGACCACAGGATAAATGTTGATTGTGGATTTTGCTCAGTGTTTTTTTTTTTTTTTTCTCTCCCCATCTCAGGTGTGTATCAGCATGTGTCTGGGTCTGCTGTGGGTGGCCATGCCATCAAGATCCTGGGCTGGGGGAAGGAGGGTGGTGTTCCCTACTGGCTCTGTGCCAACTCCTGGAACACTGACTGGGGTGATAACGGTGAGCAGAGACAACATCTTTTACTTTTAACTAGAATTCATACAATGATAGTCACTCCTGATTATAAACAGTAGCCCTCCTATTTTCATGCATATTTTTGCCTTGTGGTATTTCTACTTTTAATTGAATTTTTTTTCATCAGGTTAAATGAGTAAATCAGTAATATCTATAATTTACTATGTAAGACCCCTTGTACCATGTATACCAAAAATAACATTTTAAATGTACTACTTTTATTAATTTGCCATTGGGGAATGTCAATTTTAGAAGCCGTGACTATGAGACACAAATTCACAATACCATATGTTCTCACACAAAAGACATGAAGATATTTATGTGTAAACTGTCCTCGTCTGTTTCTCGTCTTCAGGATTCTTTAAATTCCTGCGTGGATCGGATCACTGTGGTATCGAGTCTGAGATTGTGGCAGGAATTCCCAAATAAAACCTTTTTTTTTAAGGTAAGTACAAAACGACACATAATGGAAATAGAACACATTTGCCTCAGAGAAACCTGTCTAGTACAACTCTGCCATTCTGTTGCTCCCCAATGTAATGTCACAAAAAAAGACTGAAGTGTATGTAAGTCTTTAACGACAAAAGATTAAGGGTAATGATTGTGACTTGAAGTCTGTCTTAATGACTCTTTTTCTTCTTGCAGGTTTTGAGCTGCAGTGTCCATTACATAATCACTAGAGGGCGACACACTCCACATGCGTACCCTGGAGCTCTGACCACGTTCAACTGCTTTCAGTCCTGATAGTTCACTTCGCTTCATGTAGGTGGATTAGCAGATGGAGTATGGCATCAACTATGTGCCTGAGCACAAATCATCATTGTTGAATTGTTTTTTGTTGTGTTTTTTTTATTTTTTATGAATTAGCTTCTGGGAGGCCTTCTTTGACCTCTCTTTTTAAAAGGAGTAAAATGTGTGAATTTAATTTTATCTCTGGTGATTTGAAGCAGACTGTCACTGTTGTAGAATTAGACTTACCCCCCCCTTTTTATTTCTTTCTGCACTGGTAGAAAGTGTCCGCCATCTTAGAGCAGTACAGCTCCTGATGGAAAGAAATTGTCAAATTATGCCTAATGTTGCAGAGATGGTCAGTGTGTTTTGTTTTTTAATAGTCACAGCTCTCAAATTGATGTTTTTATCAAACATTATGTTTCAGTGCCACAAATGCCACTCCATAGATGTACTAATTGTAATTGGTGCCTGTTAGTGTTTTTAAACTTCAGATTATAATGAGAAATTGAGAAACTTTTTTTTTTTTAAATATGGTGGAAATGGAATGTTTTTATTATCTGCCTGTATTGATCAGACTATTGGCTCATAAAGGGTTTGTGTTCTGAATGAAATAAAACTATTTGATTCCCAATATGGTGTTGTCTACTCTTGAATATGCATGTAGTTAATTTAAACCAATTAGTAACATTTTATAGGACTTACGATATGCTTTTTAGGATGGACTCCAATAAAAAGTGTCAACATGTGATAGATGTGTGATGAATGGATTTAGTCAAACATATTCTGGTTGGTAGGTGATCAACACTAATGTAGGTTTCTGTTGCATCTAAAACTTCATTACAAACAGGGCAATAAGTAAATGGTTAGTTTCTACTTTCTGGCCAGGTTGTTCTGGTAATATGGGGGGAGCTAAAACGGGGGAAAAAAAACAGAAGTTCAAATATTTGAGAAGAAGTGCTGTATAGTTTGCACTTCCGCCTTGCTGTCAGCAGAAACAAACACTCCGCCGTCGTAGTGCAACAAAAGTTGTTTTGTACACGGGCGTCTACCGAGTATCCAACCGCACCAGTGCTTCGGTGAAAACACAGCACGCTAAAGAGTCCTCTTTTACAGAAACATGTGGAAAGTAGTTGTTTACAGAGTCTGAAGCACAGCTGCAGTGGTGGTGCTTTGAATTAAATTTAAAAACACAGGATTATACTACAGTATTCGTCCGGTTAAGGGACATCCGGGACACTCCGGTTCCTAAAACAAACAGACACCCAACGCACGCAATCTTACTGGTGGAGCGGGCGGAAGCTAACGTGAGTTGTTGAGACAGAGAGTCCCGTACGGAGCTAGTGTGAAACAGCCGACGATGGAGGGAGGAGGAAGGGTTTCGTGGATAAAATATGGGCCTTTGGTGTCCCTGTTTGTGGTTTTTTTGGCGTTGTGGTTCCGGTCACCCCAGAATGCAGGACTGGACGACCGACTGGACACCGTGCTGTCCTCTCTGCTCCGGGCTGAACGTAAAGTCGGGATAAATAACGTCGCCAGACCCAAAGTGGCTGTTGGTGAGTGCTGTGAGCTAGCTAGCATCTCATAGCTAGTCTGATCTAATTCTAAGGGCTTATGGAGTTTCTGGGTCAATAATCGATTAGTTCCTCAATGAATGGTATCTGTGTTAGCTGGCAATGGGGTTAGTAAGCTCCTTCAGATGGTCTATCGTTAAATTCACTGCTTATAAAACATACAAATTAAAGTTGATTGACATCTCTCTGACCTGAATTTGCGCCATTAGAATAAAAGTCAGTAACATTAGATAAACTGGCTCCACAGTGAGTGAACAAAGTATCAGGAGGTTTGTCAGCAAGAGGAAGCAACGAGCTCTGAGTTAAGTTAATGTTGTTTGATGAAGCCAGACCCAATGCAGTGGAGAGGTGATTGATGAATGATCTGCACAGTCACCAGATATCAGTTCAGATCAGCATTTTGTGTGACAAGCTGGAACAGCTCGTCCTGAGCAGAGACCCTCCTTCAACCCACAGGAGACTCATCCTGGCTATCATGTTCTGTGCAGCTCAAGTCCAGGTCTGCTGTGTGTGAACCATTGACAGTATATATAAGGTTTGACCTGATAGGGGGGCCAAGAAAAGTGCATGGAAATCTCTGTATAATAGTGGCAATGTCTGAAGCATAAATGTTGGTGAAGTTAACCAAAGTAACCAATGTCTGCCACATGTTACTAGTATAGATGGTAGCCTCTGTGTATCATATCTCATATCTAGTATAAACCAGTACGCTCTTTAAATAGTATGACTGACAGTATGTGGTCTCTGTATTACATTGCAACCGAGGGCACCAAGTTGATTCACATTATTAAAGGTGGAATTCCTCACTTGAAAAAAACAGCAAACTTCAGGTTTTGGCAAACAACATAATTCTAATCTTGACTGTCATGATCTAATCCTAATATCTTGTCCTTTTGAACCTGGACGGAAACACACTATCTGTCCAACCTTTACCCATTTCAACAACAGGCTCAGCCACGCAGTCACACCTGTTAGATTGTAATTGTTCAGAATTAGATATAACAACATCATGTGTCACCCTAGTCACAGAATATCACAGCTACGTCGAGATAGTTGAATCTTATTCTTCTGTAGCGCTATTAGGTGCTGCGGGTCATGAATTGGAGTTAAACACTAAAACACAATGATAAATTCTGCAATGTTGAGTTGCAACCAAAAGGCATGATAAATATGCACCGCTGGTCCTGACTACATGATAACAAATATACGTAGGTCTTTATTTCATGTATTTACCGTCTGTGTAGATGCTAAGAGCAGGAAAAAGGAATTGCAAACAAAGCAGCTTGAAGTCAGTCAATTGACAGATTAAGTCAAATATTCAAAACTAATTCAAATGTGAGCTCTTTAACAAACATTTGGCTTTTGTAACAGGCTGCCACACATATTACTCCGTGGTAGTTGTACAGCATATTGGCGTTTGCTCACTTGTGCAGACTTGATAGAAAATGTTTGTAGATGAGAGCTAAGCTATGAGGTGATGATTTTGGATCTAGCAGCTGAAACCGTATCGATGTGTTGGATCATTTGAGCTGGCAAATGTCACAGCAGCTGCACGTTGTGTGGATTTCTCTCTGCTCGGTTTACTGAAGCTGCCCCCTGCCACTACATTTCTCTTTGCTCTATTTGTACTGTTCAGTTTTGCTGTTGTGTCGAGAAAAAAAAAGAGTATGATGCACAATCTTCTCCCTGTCTCTTCTCTAAGTCTCCTTCTCATTGGTCATCAATTTTAAATTGTATACCTTCCTTTATTCAATATTTACCTCTCTTGTCTTTCTTTCTCATCCACAGGTTTTGGAGGTTGTGTTGATCTGATAGTGGATGCGGTAACGTTGCTTAATAAGATTGGCCTCCCTCCCACGGACCAACCCCTTCATCATAACTACATAGAAAATGAAGTGCAGCTGGCTCAGAGCTTTTCCTATTTCTTTGCACCGGGAGCTGCTGCAGAGTAAGTTGTTTTTAATGTGTTTGTGTGAATAAGAACTGTCCATTAAACAGTTATAGGAAATAATCCTAAATCCACATATCCAAATATGAATATACATGTGCTTGAACAAGTGCTGTCAGAAATATTTGAATACTTAAGTCTTCTCTGTGCTATGATGGTTAGCTGAGTTTTCCTGTTTATATATATAAACTGTGTGTGTGTGTGTGTGTGTGTGTGTGTGTGTGTAATTGGATAAGAAAGAGAGGGAATGTGATGTAGGTGGGCAGCTTGTGGGCCTGAGGCCAGTCAGACCAAATTTAAACTTGTATCTTTGTCGCACCCCTCAGGCTGCTGTGCTCCTGACTCATTCTCTCACCCTCACATGCTCTTTCACAAACGCAGTCACATTCGGCCATGAACGTGGAATGGTTTATTCCATATTGATTATTTTCTGTGTTTTTTGCTGTTGGGTTTTATAAGTTAGTTGCTGGACAACCATCATTAGGTATTAGGTATTTATGCTGTTGAACTCATCTCCCCTCTTTTCTTATTCATTGGTGACTGCTCCTGTTCTGGCTGTGGCGCCTGTGAGCTCTTGTTCATTGTCTGGAACTAACACCCAAAGGCAACAGGCCTTCATCATTGACAGAAAGGGCAAGAGAGTATGTGTTTGTAAGCGAGTGCTTAAAAATAATGAAGTTTGTTTGAAAATCTTAATTAGACACAGAAACCAGGTCCCGTGTCAGCTCAGCATTTAGAGTTCTTTCAATTGCGTCTCTTGCCTGGTTTCTTGTGGTCCACTAGATGATGACTGAACGTGTGTAGGCAAAGTCTGAGACCATAATGCTGTAGTGATATGTGTGAAGACCAGAAGAGATGATGGGTGTATCTGCCAAGTGCAGACCAAGTCAAACCTCATTGTGCTTTATACAGTCACTGTACACTTAACTTGTGCCACAGTTGTTTTTTTTAAAATACATTTTCTATCTGCAGTGAGAGAGGGACACAGTAAGATACAGATGAGCTTGAAGAGCTAGAAATAACCTCAATCTGCACATCAACCACAACCAGGCTAACCTTTTTAAAATAACATACATGCTGTTTCTAAAACAATGTGCTCTGCTATCTGTCTGTATAAAAACTCTGTCTCTTAGTTTGAGGGCGGAGCTGAGCTGCACAAACTGCGGACAGCAAAATCCGGCATTGTGGTTCCTTCCCACAGGTTGTGCAGAGATGTGGCTATGTTGATTTGTGTCATAACCATTGTTTATTGACTTATTCAGACCATCAGGGAAAGGGCAACAATTGTATCATAATTTCAGCCCCATGCACGCTGCTCAGAGTAACGGCAGTCAGTCCACGGCTCTTCTGCCAAGAGTGCTCGGGTGTCTCACTGTCCTCTTCTGCCATGCGCAGGCAGTCAGTAGGTGTGGTGACGAGTAGGACGCGTAACGGTGTTTCTATAGCTTATAGTTCATTTGAGCTTGTAAATATTTAAACAGTTCATTTGATCTCCTCCCTCTTGTTGTAGAATATAAATTCAAATATAAGATTCCCCCGCATGGAATTTGTGATCATTTGAGTTAATAATAATTTTCAGGGTGTTTATGTAAATGTCCATTGCGGTGTATCCGTCAGAAACCGGTTTGCATTTGAACTCCAGTTTGCAGTGTTGTGTTTATTGATCAGTTATAAATAAACAAGAAACAGTAACTCAACCAGTGACTAGAATAATGAAAACTGATTGTGGCCAAACAGCTTGTGTGATTTAAATTTTTTATTGAGATATAAGTTATTTAGTCACATTTAAGAAAAAGTTCATTTCAAGCCCATGTCAGATATGCAAAATGTTGTGACAGTCGTTACCTCCCTACAGTAGCAGTAGTTGCATTTTTCCAAGAAGCACATTGAACCCATTGATTCATGGTATTTTAACAGACTGGTTAAACAAGTCTCTTAAACCAGTTAAGGCAGGCCAAGACAGATTTGTTCACACAACAAAGTCATTTCAGTTGGACCATTGCTTCATTATTTCTCTGCTTTTCTTTGTCTTTCAGGCGTTTTATTCTAAATGACACCCTATTCAGTGAGCTTGTTGAAGCGTCCCGTGACTTACCTGGAAACAGATGGGCAGTAGGCGGCAATGCCCCGGTAATGGCTGGTCGCATGGCAACTGAGGGATGTGATGTGTTGCTAGGGGGAAGCTTCAGCCCTGATTTTACCGATGTCCTGTCCCAGCACATAACAGGTACACACACATGCACATAAACACACTGCTACGTCCTTATTACCTTCCAGCATCTGTCCATCTTGCCCCCCCCCACACACACACACACAAAATCCTTTTCCTGCATCCCCAAATCCTGCTCTACCCTTCCTTTTTTCACTATTCTTTTTCCTATGTTCCACTTCTGCTGCCCTCTCCACTTTCTATGTATTTCCCTCCTCTGTGTTCCTCATTCTGTGCCCCTGTTCCTCACCTACCTCTGTCTTTTCAGTGGCAGGTAACATAGTGGAGGAGCCAGACATTCATCTGATCCTGGAGTATCCATCTGGTGCTAGCTGGGGGCACTATATCTCACGCAGAGCCAACAGGTATGTGTTAGTCGAGCATTTGGTAAATATTTTGAGAATCTTGAGGGATCAAATAAGGTGAACTGTGTACCTCAGTGTATTTAAGCCACCATACACAGTACGCTGGATTTAATGAATGTTGTGAATAATAAATCTAATTATTCTGTTTGTGTACATATAAGTTTAAGGCTCTATGGTATTTGAAGCTGACTGTGTTTGTGCTCTGTAGATACATCGTGCACAGTGACGACCATAACCCCTACCTGGCCTCCATGCAGGAGTTTACTGCGAAACTAGAAACCTTCAAACCAGATCTGCTGGTGGTGGGTGGGCTGCAAATGATGGATAACTTCCCATTCCAGTCAGGTAAAAGGAAATTGGTGACAACCTTTTATTTGTAGCTCAATTGGAACATCCAGCAGTTGTGTCCGCTTTGTTTGCCAACTTGAAAAGTAGGTCGTAGAAGCTTGTGTGCATGTGAATTGAAATGAGTCAACCTTATATACAATTATACAATTTATACAATTATTAATAATTACTATTAATTGTATAACTTTTACTTTACTTAAATGAAATAGTCTGTTCAGAGTAATAATTGAAGATTGAACAATGCCTTGTAAATTGGAGTTTGATGCAGAGTTCCCGAGTGAGATATGCATTTTTCCTCCAGAGTAATATACAGAATAGACCTGTGCTGATATGAATATTTATTTTTACAATAATTATTATGCGACCTGACAGGATTTGAAATATATATCATTAGACCATTAACTCCTGATACAAATATGTGAATATTTAATTCAGTGAGGTGAAAAATTAATCGTGATACTCTTTAAACAGCAGAAGATAGAAGATTCCTTGGTCACTCGTATCAGTAGCTGTATGAAGGCGCGAAGACTTAAGTTTCACTTTTAACAAAGAAAAGGAAACATGCATTGTTTTGCACAGTTTATACATTACCTCAAACTTGAAAGGATTCTTTAACCTGCTAAAGAAAGAGAAAAAATATATTTTGTAGATTTTTATCCAAGAAATAAAGGAATCTTTTTCAGTCATGATTTGTCTTCAATTCCATTTTGGGTTTGTTTTTTTTAAATGTGAGAAAGTCATGTAGTATTATATCGCTGTAATCTGACAGCTCTGTCTTTTTGTCAGTCTCCCGTTCTTCCTCCTCATCTTCGTTCTGCATCTTTCCCCACTTCTCAACTTTCCCTTGCTTGCTTTATATTTCATTTGACTACATTTCCTGGTCTTTGGCATTATTCTCTCTCTCTGAAATCTTACCTCTTCTGCCTCCGTTTTGTTTATTCTGTCCTCAATGTGTCCTTCACTTTCCATTGTCTGGCTAACTTTTTTTGTCTGAATTTCTTCTGTTCTTCCACCCATTCCTTTCATCATTCCAGGTGAGCGCGATGCTCTCCTCTCCCGCCTGGCCAACATCATGTCCTCCTCGTCTGCACAGATAGGGGTCCATTTTGAGATGGCCAGTTTTGTAGAAGAGAGTATAATGGAAGACCTACTTCACTATGTCATCCCCCACGTATGTATGACTGAACAATTCAATTAATCACATGTTTTCCGTAGACTGGCAGCAAACTAGAACAATTACACATTTGAAAAAACTAAATGTTTATCCCAGAACAATTGAGTGAGGTAGACTAGTGAAGAGGAAGAGCATGTCTGACAAGTAATACCAGGTAGTTTGACTCTAGACTCTGACTAGATTTGGTTAGTTAAATTTGTTGAATACATTTGTGAACAGCCTGTGACTCAACAGCCTTTGCCTTCCTGTGTTTACATGTTGATGTATTAGAGTACATTTAATGCCTTGCTTACCAGCGTTGTGATGTATTTAAAACATGACAGCTTTTTCTGACATATAGAAAACAAAACCATCTTAGATTATGTTCTGGCCAGTCCCATAACTACTTTAAACAAAATAATCGTTTAGTTGAAAATGTTACCATTATGAAGTTAGTATTAGCCATAGAAATATTGTCCAAAAAGACAATCATCATTGACAGAAAGGGCTAGAGAGTATGTGTTTGTAAGTGAGTGATTAAAAAATAATGAAGTTTGTTTGAAAATCTTAATTAGACACAGAAACCAGGTATAGTGTCAGCTCAGCATTTAGAGTTCTTTCAATTGCGTCTCTTGCCTGGTTTCTTGTGGTCCACTAGATGATGACTGAACGTGTGTAGGCAAAGTCTGAGACCATAATGCTGTAGTGATATGTGTGAAGACCAGAAGAGATGATGGGTGTATCTGCCAAGTGCAGACCAAGTCAAACCTCATTGTGCTTTATACAGTCACTGTACACTTAACTTGTGCCACAGTTGTTTTTTTTAAATCAATTTTCTATCTGCAGCGAGAGAGGGACACAGTAAGATACAGATGAGCTTGAAGAGCTAGAAATAACCTCAATCTGCACATCAACCACAACCAGGCTAACCTTTTTAAAATAACATACATGCTGTTTCTAAAACAATGTGTTCTGCTATCTGTCTGTATAAAGACTCTGTCTCTTAGTTTGAGGGCGGAGCTGAGCTGCACAAACTGTGGACAGCAAAATCCGGCATTGTGGTTCCTTCCCACAGGTTGTGCAGTGATGTGGCTATGTTGATTTGTGTCGTAACCATTGTTTATTGACTTATTCAGACCATCAGGGAAAGGGCAACAATTGTATCGTTAATTCATCCCCATGTACGCTGCTCAGAGTAACGGCAGTCAGTCCATGGTCCTCTGCCAAGAGTGCTCGGGTGTCTCACTCTCCTCTTCTGCCATGCGCAGGCAGTCAGTAGGTGTGGTGACGAGTAGGACGCGTAACGGTGTTTCTATAGCTTATAGTTCATTTGAGCTTGGAAATATTTAAACAGTTCATCTGATCTCCTCCCTCTTGTTGTAGAATATACATTTTGTATTATTATAGTATTAGCTTTATGTTGCCATAGAAATATTGTCCAAAAAGACAATCATAACATCTCATTGGTTTCCTTCATTCCAAACATCACATTGAGTGTAGTTGTAGAAAGTAACACCAGTATGACAGCCACAGCCTACTTTTAGAGATCAAAATTGTAGTCAGTTTTTTTATTTTTATTTAAAAATAAAGCACACTTGCCTTTATAGATCACAGTGAAAGAAATTGGCAATTAATGCAACAGTATGGCTGTTTTGTTTTTTCCAAGATGCACAGTTTAGTTAAAAGCAGGAGCTTCTTCACTCATTCTGATTCTGCTTTTCCAGGCGGACTCTTTAGGGATGAATGAACAGGAGCTTCCCAACCTGCTCAGTCTACTTAAAGGCGCCAACATCACAGTGTTGTCCGACCCAAACCCTCGTGTAGCTACTGTCCTCGACCAGATGAGGGAGGTCTATCGCATTTTGAACCAGCGCTACAAGGATGCCACCGCAGAAGGCGAAGCATATGGTGCAAAGGTTAAGCCGCTGACTCGGCTCCACGTCCACACGCTGGCCTTTCAGGCCATGATTGTGACACGTGGCTCCCAGTGGAAGAACACCATGTCAGCCACCGCCAAGGCCTCTCTCACAGCTAACCGCCATGTCTGTGGCTCTAATGACATTGACCCCAGCAAGGCAAGGCTTATCATGGATGACTCCTTCTCTGTTAGCCGGCAGGAGGGCAGCCAGCGTATACCCCTGCAGGAGACCCGGCCCGTCAGCTGCTGGGATGAGGCGGACTATGAGATCTGCGTAGCTCCCGTACTGGTGTGCACTGAGGTTTACCAAACGGCAGGCGGAGGGGACAACATCTCAGCCGCTGGTCTCGTGCTGCAGATCTAGAGAAAACCACTTTATGGTCCGTCTGTGTGGAGTGCTAATGAGATGTTGGCAAACAATATGACTCTGGAAATTTGATCTAGGTGTGATGCAAAGTAGCTGTTGTGGCAAACACAGGTACTGATTGTGAAATGTATCAGGCTAATGCTGTCACACTTGAAGTTCATGGCCCAGATAAGGAAAATTGATTGTTATCATTCGTGGGAGTCAGATGATGGTGTACAGTTGTTATTAATCAGGTCAGAAAAGCAGCTTTTAAATGTATAGAATCAATTTTTTTGAGGTAGATGCAGGTAAAAGTCAAAGTCAAACATTTCAGTTTTTCACCGTGTGTGTGTGTGTGTGTGTGTGTGTGTGTGGTCATCACTGGATTTCACCCCTGTTGCATTAACATTATAATATACATATAATAATATGTATACACAAAGCCCCTTTACATCCAGTTTATTTGATTGTTAGAGCCCAAACTTAAATAGAGGCACTGCTGTGCTCTCTTCAAATTTAATTGAACACACCCAACATCTTTGCCAAGTCATTGTAGCCCATCATCTGACTCCTGTCCTGTACTACCCCACGGCCTTACAAGACCTAGCCTTCAGTCAGGGTAAGATAAAGAGGGGTGAGGTTTGGATAAAGTCATAACAGGTTGTTTTTCCTCGAGGCACACCGGGGTGTCGGTGGCATGATGTTTTTGAAATGTGGAAATTTTGACAAAGCTGCATTTTCTGCTGTAGGATAAATTATCTTTGTTATATTTATCTGTGGCTCCACTATGCAACAAACGTGTACACAGAGTTATGTAATTTCTGTAATACTTGAATCTTCTCTTCTAGTAGTGTAATTAGGTGATGTCACTTACTTAAAATCCCCAGTTTGAACCAGTTAACAGGGCTTTGACCGCCCAAGCCTCGCAGCAAATGTAATTTCTGAAGAGCCAACCCTTTTTAATCAGAAAGCTCTGTCCTGCCTCTTCCCTCTTTTATCTCATTCCCAAAGGCAAAGAACGACAGTAGAAAGCTAGTGAGGTGATCACCTCCTGTTCTTCCTAATATATGTGAACAGTGTGGTTTGGGTGTGGCTGATTTTGTTTTGAGATTGTCATTCCTCTGTGTGTCAGTTGCAGTGCAATAATGCAAAAACATTGTTAAGAGACCACTGTTGGTAGCTGAATATGATGTCAAAAATATCCTCTCTACCTCCATCTTCTTTTTGTTTCTCCTTCTCTTTTAACCCTCTTCTCATTGTTGTTTCTCTTCCATGTTCCTCTGTCAAACCTTTTCTATAATCTGTCATATTTCTTCCTTGTTCCTTCCCTTTTCTTCTGTCTATTTATGGAACTTTTTAAGGACCAAATAACCAGTGTGGACTGCCACTGATAACATAGCTGCACAGGAGAAGTTACTGGCAGCCAGTTCATACATTCTCACATGGTATGGCTGCATACAGTGGAACACAATCTCATCTATAGTTTTTCCAAGAAAGAAGGGGTTCACTACATAAAATTGTCAACCTGACATTAAGCCACGCAGAAAATTTAATGTGTTTGTCTTCATCTTACTTTTAGGATTAGAAGCCAGATATAATTCCTTTTCTTTAAGTGACTTCTAAATGGCCATCAACTCCCATTTCACTCTTTTCAGGTTTGGAATCATGTATTTGTGACTGGACTTACATGGGACTGATGTGAAGTTTACTATGTTTCTCACTATTTACGAATCAGACATTCCATCACAAACCCAGCTTCAGTTCTCTTCTCCATTCAGAATGAAGAATGTTTGAGATAAACACCTCAACATGCAAGTGGATTATTTTATTTCTTGCATACACAATTTAAGTTGCTTGTCGAAGCCTCTTGTCACTGAGGGACACATTTATTCGTGTTACAAATACAACAAGTAAGAGAAAAAGAGCCTAAAGGTAAAGAAATCCCTTTAAATCTTTTCTCTCTGTGTTAAGACTGTACTGATTTGATGCCGTTTGATTATGCTGAACATAAATGAGCCTTATTCTGTTGTAACTTTTGGTGTTTAGTGAAAAGGGAATGTTTAATACAGACTTTTTCTCATACTGTAGGCTTATGTGTTATTTTCTGATGTGTTCGTCTTACACAGTTGTTGAAAACCAAAAGTAACGGGTCATTGTTTTTACTGTGAAATGAAACTTTAAAGCAGAACTTCAGCATGTATTCATGTTCTGATAGAGAACTGCTCGTGTTTGCTACCATATCATATTCTTATCTAAGCTTCAGATAAGTCATGTCATCCTTGTTCCAAAGCTGTGTTTAACTGTTTCATGCATGTATAACTATTCAATGCAGAATCACTTAAGATAAAAATGCTATGCTGATAAAACCAATCATTGCTTTTTTCTTTCCTCATACTTGGGATCATTTATCGAGATGGTTCATGCCCATAATGCACGCTACTGAACTCAAGATTTCTTCGAGACACTATTGATGAGTATAATGGGACTATCACATCACGGCGCCTTTGTCATGAATTCATAATTCACCATGATGAAGGTTGTTTCCTTCCCTGCTACTCCCATTATTGAGCATATTTCATTTGCTGTCACTTCATATAGGTAATGTTCCTGGTCTTCATCATGTTACTGATTCCTGCTTTCCCTATTTGTCCATTGGTTGCACATATTGTCCAACGCTTTGTCAAATTAATGACCAGATTACCTCCTGCTTCTGATATCCCTGCTAGTTTCAAATACACTGAACAAGGAATACTCAATAGAGTTGTTACAAAGAATTACAGTCCGATGTCAGAATGTAATTGTTCCCTGCAGCTTGAGGATGACACCAGAAAGGGACCATGAACGTCACCTACAGCCACCTGATCTGATCTCTCATCATATGTAGTACACAAGATTTAAATTAGCACATTTTCCCTATAAAATGAGCCTATAAGATTCCACATATACATTTCTGCAAAGCATGCAAGGAGCCTGTGACTCAGCACTATGCCTCAGCCTCTATTTTGAGGCACATGTCAGTACCTCCGGATTATCTCAAGCTGTTGGGGTTAAGAACAAAATGAAGTCAGAAATTAAAGGAGTATATCCCCACACAAATGCAAGATTATGACCAAACAATTTTTTTTTGTCACGCATTAGCTAGCAAACTTGAGTAAATCACAGTTCTGTGTGTTGATCCTGATTTCTGACTTTATTTATATGTTAAAAAGTAGACCACACCACTCACAACGATTTATATTGTTCATGTAGTTTTCAATTTAATGTGATTCAGGAAAACATCTCGGAAGCAGGAAAGAGAGGTTGGGTATAATATGTATGTATGCATGGGAGCATAAAATGACTGTATATAATACCAAGATAATGACCATCTACATAATGGTGCTCCCGCGTTGATACATTTTCACAAATCTGCCAAAACAAGTTGACCAGAAAGTATTTCAACTGAAATGAAAGACAACTCTGGAAACACAAAGTCAGGTTGAGCTCTGTGCATGTATAATTCATATATCAGAACTACTAGCCCACCACAAAAACATGCATACATGAAGACATACACTAAACATACACAGACTTGTGTGTTTGTAATATTAATAAAAAGCTATGATGACACACACACTGTGGCACTGTCTACATATCAGGGTCAATGGTCAGCAGGTTAATTAAGTCTTTGTAATAAATAAGGTTTTTCTCGTGGTCAACAAGTGCTGTCAACATCTCATCCATCTCCTCCTGAGTGAAAACATCTCCTGGTTTAAAAACAAGCACAGTCATGGTTAAAAAACGTTAAAGTTCCTATCTTAGGAATGTTTTGTGGAAGTAGGGGGAATGTCACAGACACAAAAACATTACATAATCTACTGTTCACAACACAAACAAAAATGTCTTTACCTCACAAAGTAAAGACTGAAAGTTGATTTACCTTCCTGTGTCATGTACTTTGTCAGATCCTCAGGCTCCAGGTATCCTTTCTTTTCTTTATCCAGAACCTGGAAACACAGTGTTATTGCCTTCATGCTTTAACAAATATCAGAAACTAACACTGTGAATCACTAGTGCTAAAAAGGGAGTTTAAAGTGGCAGATAACCTGTTAACAACTCCTTAAACTACAACAGTAGAGGATACGAGGTAACAGCAGCTGGTCTCACCTCAAATGCCTGAAGCAGAAGATCCTCAGGGATGGGAGGGTACCTAAAACACACACACACACACACACACACACACACACACACACACACACACAATCACCATTTGTGTCTGTATGAGAGTACCCCCCTGATAGTATTGATAAAAGATGGAATTAACATATCCTCTTGTTACTAATATCCAATCCCAATTTCTTAAGTGTTTTGTGCTCCTGAAGAGGATCCAAACATTTTCACTGGTTTTAAGGGAAGCTGAAATATTGTCTGAGATGGAGAACGTGGAGGACAAACCTGTGTATCAACGAATATACACTTTAGAACCCATTTAGCAGCTTAAAGCACAGAAAAGCACAAGCAGAAAAAAAGAGCCATATATTATTTTAAAGTCTGACATTTGGCATTTTCTACCAAACACTGCTTTAAAGATTAATGATAAACACTGTACAGTGGTAGTATTTGTAGACTTTTACAAAACACATATATTCTGTGAAGTACTGCAGTAACTGCCTCATTATATTTTCCTAATATAAAGGCAGTAGGTAATTCATTTGCTCCCTCATCTAATATAAAGACGCGCTGTATAATAAATATTTTGCTTTAACATAAGCGACTACTTGGCCTCCTTCTCACCCTCAAAATTGCAGCAGTTTCATTTATTCAGTTAAAAAACACACAACTGACGAGTATCTTACTTGTTCTCCAGCAGCACTTTGGTCATGACTGGGAGGAACTTGTCCAAATGGATATATCCTGTGTGGCCCTCTTCCACCTGGTTGAACAGGACAAAGAAACTGAGGGTTGGTTCTAACTAACAAAACTGGTTGCTTATAATGTCACAACTAGAGTAAAAGTCAAGACACACCTTTCTCTGTGCATTATATGTGTCAGGCATATAGGTAATTCTACATTGCAAATGAACAAGATAGCATTTTAAATGACAGTGACATTACAATACCATTATTAATTATATTTCACCAGAAGAAAACATGAATAAAATGTGAAATGGTAGAATCCAGTTGTTTTATTCATCCAAAATATGAGCAAAATATAAGTAAACACTGTTCTGACCTCAGCTGTAAAATCATGTAGGTCTGCCTGAGTGGGGAAGCAGCCTAGGGAATAGATGATGGTGCCAATCTCCCTGGAAAACAAACCACATAATTTAACGACATGTAATTACAGTGTATGATTATTCTGATCTCTCTGGCATGTGTATTAAGGCATGTTTCATTCACCTCTACCTCTACCAGAGCCCATGCCACTAAATTTATGTTCACCATCTCTGCCAATGTGGCATCCCTCATCACCTCGTTTAAGTGGCAAACAAAGGTGTTCTAGTTTTACTTACAGTCAAGCCTGAAATTATTCATACCCCTGGAAAATTTTGACTTAAATTGACTTTTATTCAACCAGCAAGTTTTTTCTTGATTGGAAATGACACAGGCGTCTCCCAGAAGATAAGACGATGTACAAGAGGCATCATTGTGGAAAAAAATATTTCTCAGCTTTTATTTACATTTGAACAAAAAGTGGCATGTCCAAAATTATTCATACCCTTCTCAATAATCAATAGAAAAGCCTTTATTGGCTATTACAGCAATCAAACTCTTCCTATAATTGCTGACCAGCTTTTTGCATGTCTCCACTGGTATTTTTGCCCATTCATCTTTCGTGATGAGCTCCACCTCTTTCAGGTTGGAGGGTCTCCTTGCCATCACCCTCATCTTTAGCTCCCTCCACAGAATCTCAATTGGATTCAAGTCAGGACTCTGGCTGGGCCACTGCAAAACGTTAATGTTTTTGTCTGCTAACCATTTCTTCACCACTTTTGCTGTGTGTTTTGGGTCGTTGTCGTGCTGAAATGTCCACTGGTGCCCAAGGCCAAGTTTCTCTGCAGACTGCCTGATGTTGTTGTTGAGAATCTTGATGTATTTCTCATTTTTCATGGTGCCGTTTACTGTGATTAGGTTCCCTGGTCCATTGGCTGGAAAACACCTCCAAAGCATTAGGTTCCCACCACCATGTTTGACAGTGGGGATGGTGTTCTTAGGGTCGAAGGCTTCTCCTTTTTTACGCCAAATGAAGGATACATCATTGTGGCCAAACAATTCAATAAAACAGAAGACCAGAAGTCTTCTTCTTTGTCCAGATGAGCATTTACAAAGGCCAAGTGGGCTTTTGTGTGCCTTATCTGGAGCAGTGGCGTCCTCCTTGGTCTGCGTCCGTGGAACCCAGCAGTGTGCAGTGTCTGTTGGACTGTCTGCCTTGAGACGTTGCCACCAGCAGAGCCCAGATTCACCAGGATGGCCTTGGTGGCGATCCTTGGATTCTTTTTCACCTCTCTCACTATCCTCCTGGCCAGCACAGGTGTCACTTTTGGCTTCCCACAACTTCCTCTGAGATTTCCCACAGTGTGGAACGTCTTGTATTGTTTAATAATAGTTTGCACTGTAGCCACTGGAACTTGAAAACATTTAGATATGGCCTAATAGCCCTTTCCTGACTTGTGAGCAGCCACAATGCGCAGCCGCAGGTCCTCAGTGAGCTCCTTTGTCTTAGCCATGACTGTCCACAAACCAACTGCAGAGAGCTGCTGTTTTTCACCTGTTAAGTTGATTAAAACAGCAGCTCCCAATGAATCAGGGTAAGTAGAATTAAAATTTGCCAGGGGTATGAATAATTTCGGGCTTGACTGTATAAACACAAAACTACAGACCCACGTGGGCATTTCCCCCATAAACTACACATTTACTCTTTACCCTATATAATTAACTCTCTCTACATATTACTTTCTCAACACAAATTGATGGTGTGAGATTACAAGGTTCAAACCCAGCACATGGCAATATACTGTGGACTATAACCAAGTGTATTTAGATGTTACAGGATCTGGGGTAAATATGGAACTTAATTCACATGTTTAGGATATTTTTAATAAGGTAAGGGCCTCCATACAAGGGTCCCATTTAAGATTTGTTATTGAATAGACCTATAATATCTCTAACTTATGCATCCCACCTTTATATTCACTGGGTTTGAAGCTGTGACCCAGAGTTCAGAGGAATGTGTTATTGTGTGTTTGTTTCTTTTTACATTATAACCATCTGGTTTATGAGCCAGGGAGAACAATCTCACTCACCGAGCATCCACTGTGTTGTTAGACTCATAGTCAAACACTTCAAAAGCTGCTCTGATCTTCTTGTGGACATCTGACCCTGTGGCCTCTG